TTCCTTACAATCGTTGAGCACTAGATTGGAAGTGATAAAAACTAAGTCAGCTGATAGCTCAGTGAGTAGCAACATGGATAGTAAATACAGTTTTGAAAAGAGGGTTCAATTCCAAAATAAGATATATATCACAGAAACTAGATTGGCATACAGTTTGGTAAATACAATCTGTTTCAAAAAGAAGGTTCCACAATTCAACACTTAAAATACTCATGTCTCGCAAGAACATGATAAACGACATTTTTCACTTAAAACAGATTATAACATGAACACCAATAATTTTCTGGGTACCAATAAAAACAAATAATCTGCCACACAGTTCTCAGGCTATAAGCCCCGTTGGATCCAATACCGAACTAAGAGTCATCCTCAGGGTGGCACCTGGGCCTTTTCTCAAAGGCGATCCGATTGAAGGTCACCTAGTTATTTTTAAAAGTCTTTTCCTTACAATCGTTGAGCACTAGAGTCATCACGACCCAACCCGGATCTGTTCCCTAGTGGCCAGAATCACCACACACAGTGGAATAATTTTCCTAGACTAAATACACACATGGTCCCAATAATCAATACACATCAGTTTCGCAAAACATGGTGGTTCATCATTATAAACATGAGACCAAAACAAATAGTTTACAGTATGCCAAGTTCACACATGTTTCAGAAATAATTTGATTCAATTGATAATATAATAATTTATCAAAACAGTTTAGTTATGAAATAACAATTTAATTTTTCAACAGTTCAGGGTAGGGAAACATTTATAAAAATACGTAGCACGAAACTACTCACCTAAAACCGAAATAATATAATCCTCAAATAGAGTATAAAAGTCCAACTAGTGCCCTGAACCAAGTATGAAAACTACATGTCACTACTAATTTAAAAATACTAAAGAATAAGAACTAAGTAACCCCAAACCAAAGCGCACTAACACGACTCAACCAAACTCACCATTACTCTTAAATATTACCTAAGTTCATGTTATTCAAGGTCTAAAATCACCCAAGACATGGGTTCCGATCGAAACTTAACTAAAAACAACTTTAAGATAAAACAGAGTTTTAAACAAGTTTTCCCAATCTATTCGCAAACTTTGAAAATTACAAAACTCACTCCACACTATTCGAAAAATTCCAAAAACCTCCAGATATCAACTAATATATCATAAGTTTCAAACCCAATTGGTTTCATTTGATTTGCTTATCAAAATAATTATCTGCAATTTATTATATCCAAACAGGTTGTTTTCTGCAGCACTTTAAAGAAATTGACGGTTCTCTTAATATACACGAGCAATCAATGCAAGGCCAAAAATGTAAGAAACTAGACTCGTAACCGGTTCTAATGACGCTAATTTGATAATTTTTGGGAGTGAAAATCCATATAAACTGATGCGTTCAAATCTGTCTAGAAAACTGATTTTAAACAGTCTGTACAAAATTTTGCGAAAAATTGGTCATCCGGTGGGTTATCCGATAGTAAAAATACAACGGCAATAAATAGTGTTTTGGTGAAAGACCCAGCACATTCTCCATTTAGTGAAATTTTTGCTTAATTCTCAATTTGATATCAATTTGGTGAAATCATTAGTGAGAGAAAAAGTGACTTTTTCATCAAATTTCAAATCTGATGCACAATTTGATGCACTGTTAGAAATGGCCTAATGGAAAATAAAAATAGTGCATTTCCTTAATTATGAACCATTTGCTCCATTAACGTCAACACTTTTTTTTGGAATCACAAAAAGTCTATATAAGATGAATTTCTGCATAACATTACATCCCTGTATGCCTATGTGTGCAAGGGTTTGACATTTCTGGGCTGTTTGCTGAGTTTTTTTCCTTTTTTTTTAGTGCAAAAGACAGACAGCAAAGATGACATATACAACAATACACATGGGTATGGATTAGGATTTTCTACAATAATTTTTTTTTTTTTGTATAATATAATCTTGTAATATGTTGAATGTATGTGTGAAGGAGAAGGAGAATTGGAGAAATGTGCACAACAACAACAAGGCGTTGAATCTGATATATGAAAAAGTCATTGAAGACTTCCATGACACTTTTGTATTCAACCTGTGTTCTCCAAATATTTTATTACCTTCTTTTTTTCTTTCTTTGAACATCTAACTATTTTATTAGCTGTGAACCCAAGAATTCAACCTGTGTTCTCCAAATATTTTATTACCTTCTTTTTTTCTTTCTTTGAACATCTAACTATTTTATTAGCTGTGAACCCAAGATCCAAGAATTCCAAATAAATCAATAATATATAATAAAAAAATAAAAAATAAAAACAGTCAAAGAGTCAACCCTAGAAATCAGGTTTTCCATCATGGAAAGTCCCCAACCCTGCTGTGCTCCATTTTTCTTCATATCCTATGCTATGCTAATCCTATGCACACATGCATACACATATGTATGCATGTGTACAGTATAATTTATCACTTCATATAATAGAATTTTGTCATTTCTTTATTTTTAATGTCATGCAATTATTAGACCTCATACAATTGGTTGAACACACGACCAATATAAAATTCTTAAAAAACAAAATAATTACTCGTATGTAAAGAAACAAGTGGGATATGTATGAGATGGAACAGAAACTTCAAAACATGGAACAATGGGCCTCCTCTTCTTGTTGGTTTGTGTTTCTCTTCTTGGGTTCCAAAACTAAACACAACTTGTCAAAGCCACCTCTGCCCTTGCTTTCTAATATGGTATCCTAAGTCTTGACTTAATAAAACTATTATAAATTGTGGTTTAAATAATAATAAAAAAATTAAAAAACACACCATTCACAGCATCTCATCACTTTATTTGTTTTCTCAATTTTTCTCTTAATTTTTTAAAAAAAAAAAAAATGCTACTACATCTTAGTCACTGTCACTGTAGGACTATAGATTTATCACTGATGCATGACCATCTGGAAAGAGGAATGCATCTACCTTTAGTCATCAAGGCATTCCTTCTGGTTTTGCCAGGTTTTGGGAAAAATAAGCGGAGACACAGGAAAAACAATTCTACAGAAGTGCAAACACTGTATTCATTTTAGACACTCAACTTTGATGAATGCAGTGCTCTAACAAAACAACAGTATATTTTGCATTTTTTGTAAAATTGTTCTGTATCATGTAGAGTTATCGAATAAGTTGCTACATAACATGGTTTATCTGGATCAAACTGCTTTGAGGTGACCCAATTTTACTCCCTTTTTTCCAAATCGTTCAACTAAGAGTTAACAAGTGCACAGAAAAATTTCACAAAATGAGATACAAAACTGGTGTCCCATTCTAAGAAAAATACTAGTGTTCAATGCCCAATTGTTCAACTAATGATTTGTTGCTCCAACAAAGAACCGCTTGTGCTATTTTGGGCTACTACTTCATTTCATTTCCATTGGATATGTAACTGCCAATTGCAAGTAAAAATACCCAGTCAGATACAAAGCCAGACCAGAAAACTCATGTCAGAATGAGAGAACATAGAAGTCCTTGTAAATGACTGCTCAGTGGGAGTAGAACCTTTAGGCTGTGTTTAGATCTTATATTTACGGAGGAAAAAAGAAAAATGAAATAAAAGCTAATTGTTCTTGCTTTTTTCCATTTCTGTTTCATTTTTCCTCTACAAATCCCTTCACAAATCTAAAATTCAAACACAATCATAATGGACCAGAAAATCCTTCGCCAGAAACTAAAACTAAACTCAGCCACTCCTAAACAAACACCCAACATTGCCAGCTTCAGTGACATGCATTAGCACAATATATCTTTAAAATATGTATCTGTGCCAATGCATCTCCACCAGTATGTTGATGTATGCATGTATATTGGGTAGAGTTATCCTCTCTGTATTGTAATTATGATTCAATGTAATCTTTGTTAGGATATTAAGAAGCCCACAAGCTCAAGGCAATACTGGTCCAATCCATTAGAGAGAAACTCTAGAATCCACAAACATCATATCAAGGCCCAACATATATTTTTTAGAACTCATACCTATTTAAAAGTTTAAGCATATAAGTGGAAAGCCTATCTAATGTATATTAGACTCCTCTCTTTTACTCTTTATCCGATGTGGAACTCCACCTTCATACATGCTCTAACAATCTCTCCTAGTTGTATGAACCAAACATCGAGTCTTGCCTTACTCCCCCTCGAATCTTGATCTATCATCTGCAAATTCATCATGGATCATACACACTCCCCCCTTAATCCTGATCTATAACTCTCCAACATCAAGTCCAACTTAGGCCACCCGCACACACTCTATCATGAGCCACCATACTCCATTGAGAGCCACCTTGTCGTAGTCTAACTTTGCCACGTGCATCAAGAATTTTCTTTGGTCCATCAAGAGTTGTCATGAATTTGTCTTGCTCCATTGAGAGTTTCCGTGCAAGCCCAAAGCCAACAACATCAATGCTCCAAGAGAGCCCGCCCATAGATCGTCTACCATCAGCTCTCCGTGCAAACCCAAGGCCAACAACACCAATGCTCCAAGAGAGCCCGCTCATAAATCGTCTACCATCGACTCTAATACCAATTGTTAGGGAATCGGGGAACCCACAAGCGCAAGGCAATACCGGCCCAATCCATTAGGAAGAAACTCTCGAGTCCACAAACGTCATATCAAGGCCCAACATACATTATTTGAAACTCATACCCACTTAAAATCTTAAACATATAAGTGGAAAGCTCATTTAATGTATATTAAAATTCATCTCTTTTACTCTTCATCCGACGTAAGACTCTACCTTCACACATGCTCCAACAATCTTTAATCAAAGTAGCAAGTTTATATGATAAAGAAATGTTTGTGGGTCTAATGGTTTTGACAAAAACCATTAGAGCTGATGTTCAGAGCTGATAGTTTTGTGTTCAGAGCTAATGTTCTGCAGTTGGTGAGGAACTTGTAGCTGTAAGAATTCCATTTCCAAGAAGTCTGTGCATCTTCTTTATACCATACAAACTAGCAATACCATAACACAGACAATCAAGTTAACAACACTTTATGTACTGATTTTATATATGATGACAGTATTTGTTTGTAGAAGCCATTACATCAACCACATAAAAGATGACAGTATTTGTCTGTAGAAGCCATTACATCAACCACATAAAAGAGAATGCTAATCATGGCACTCATCTTCATTGAGCAGAACCTTAACCCTGTCATATGGCTGCTTACCATACACTTACCAGGCCTGAAAAGGAAAAAGAAAAAAGAAAAAAGAAAAGAAAGTGCATGTGATAAGTTTCCAAGTCTGATATTTTCAATCTTGAATGCCAACTGATCTCTCAAAATAAAATGCAAATTTTACAATTGAAGTTCTTCTGTTCACCAAATTTTACAAATTCATCACACGAGTTTGAATGAAAACATTTATCACAAGCCTATTAGGCAGAGTGATATTGATTGGTTCCTTAACCAACATTAGGGGTTCAAGTCTGGCTCATTGTCTTCCCTAGCACCTATAGGCATCACAAAAGAAAATCATAACTGAGCACTAACATAAATCACAAGACAAGGAAGATTAGTATAAATCCATCAGATAAATTTTGCTTCACAAAGCATATCTTTTAAATAAACAAACAAAAGTTGGCAAAAAGCATTCTCTCCTAAAAGATTTAGCAAGTAACTACCAGTGAATATTGCACCCACAAAAAAATAAACTGTAACAATATTACCCTGTGAATAAAGTGAATAGTTGTATGTAATCACCTAAATACTAGTCTCTACATATGCCAAGGAATAAAAAGGTACAACTAATGTTCTTGTAATCATGTAATTTTGTAGGCGAAGATGTTATAGTGTTCCACTCTAGAGTAGAACACTTACTTCAAAACAAGTATGGTGAAACACTACCCATGTTATGGTTATTTGATCTTATGGAAGTTTAACACACATATATCCACCTTTTTTTTACAAGATATCTACTTTGAAAGCCTAAAACAAAGCTTAACTTATGTTTATTCAGAGTTATTTTACAGTTGGTCGCTTTTGTATGTTTTCTTATGTTTTTAACAATTAGGGGTATTTTAATAATTTTACATTTTACAGGACATGACCTGTGCAACCAAGGGTTGAGTGTCACGACCCCATCCCATCCCTAGTAGAATGGTGCCGTGATGGCCAGTAATCCGAGATTACCAAAGGCCAACTTACAAAAATTCACACACAATCAGAGTATACATATGGAGCTTACATGTGCGGAAATAAATTTAAATCTAAGTAGTCCATAAGAACTGTGCATAGATCAAATGAAATGACATACATCTTAAAATGGTTTACAACTTGGAAACAAATAAAACAAAGTACATGTTGCATCTTGATCAAAAGGCTTCTCAAGCCGAAATATACAAAAGACATGAATTACAAACTAAGAAGCATAATCTTCAAGATGCTAACAAAAAATGAATCCAAAACATCTTGCAAATAACATCTTAGGCGACACCGCCTTCTTACTCGTCACCTACATATATATAAAAGGGAGAGTGAGCATGGATACTCAGTGAATGATATAATTAATAAAGGTTTGAATGAATGATATCCGAGATCTTTATCAAAACAATACATATCATAACTTGTAACAAAATATGGGATGAATCAAGTTCATCAATCAAAATCCTTCAAAACTTCTTAGGATGTTTAATAACATCTACATATTACAAAGGATGACATTCCTGACAAAACAAAGGAATAACCGACCCAAATCAAGCACACCCGTTCACGACCGTCGGTGGCTGACCCAGAATCGGTTAGACAACCCACCCGGAAAACCGTCGGTGGCAAAACAAGGGAATAATCGACCTAGAATCGATTAGACAAACCCACCCGTACAAGACCGTCGGTGGCAAGGGAGATATCTCAAACAAAGGTACTAGTTGCATTATAGTCCCCTAGCACTAAGGACTTTTCAAGAATGTCATCAAAACAAACATAATACTTGATACAAAAATTAGAGGATAATCATTCATGCTTAATCAAATACTTTTTCAAAACAAAGCAAAGCAAAGCTTTTATCAAAACATTATAACATAACTTTATTAAAAATACCACTCACTTTGATCTTCGGGTGTATGGATTAAGGCAAGAATCCAAGACCTAAAATCATATAGCAAAGTCTATTGAATGCATTTCAAAAAGACAAGAAGGAATGCTCAAAGATGGTTGTGCAATGCATTCTTAAAACAAGCTTTACATGAATGAAAATGATCCCGGCATTTCTTTCCAAAACCAAGTCAAGGCAAAGCAAAACATGCTGAGAGTTAAATCACTGTTTTTCATCTAGAAAAAACATGCTGGGTACCAACCAAGTCTTGGAATGGATGCATAGAGATGATCTAGGCTAAAATGACCTAGCTGGGTGAACTCAGGAGGTCTTGGCCGAGGTCCCACACCTCTTGGCCGAGGTGTGGTTACCTAGGCTTCAGTGTGCAGCTGCCTGCCGAGGTATTACAAGGTGCCGGTAAGAGGGTACCATAGTCGGCCTAGGTGTGCAGTGATTAGCCTAGGTGTGCATGCAAGATAGGCTAAGATGCAAGTGATCATGCAAGGTAGGCCAAGGTGAGATACGATTCTTGGCCTAGGTGTGAGATCTAGGCAAGAGTGCGTCTCAGTAACCACATTTAGGCAAATGTGAAGTCTGGAAATCTGGGTTTCCTCCCTTGAAAAACATGAAGAACATGAATATGAAGAACATGAATGCTAGATTCATAACTTCTTTATTCAAAATCTGAGATTTCATTATATGAGTTCAAAAACATGGACCTGGGTACCCATACTTGAAGATTCCATGAAAACAAACACAAAAACATGGAACTTGTTACAAACTTTTGGATCAAAACAAGGTTTTTCTTCAAGAACACAAAAACATCATTTTCTCTTTCTAAAACCAAACTTTCAATCGATGCATGGCTCATGAATCATGTTAGATCATGTAATGTGATCAGATTAACATAAAGAACAACAAGAGTAGATCAAGAATCTAAGCTCAAAATACGGATCTAACGGTTCAAGCTCTAAGGATCAAGCTTGGAATCTAACTCTCTCACTCTAAGAACTTCTCTTCCTCTTCCTCTTCCTAGAGCTTCTCTCTCTTCAAAGGCAAGGATATGACAAAATGATATGGGTTTCTCAGCTAGCACATGACTTAACCCTCTCCTGGGACACGTGGCAACGCCGAATTGGATAACCTCAAAAAGGTGCCAGAATGACAAGACAAGAGTATGACAAAGTGTGTATAACAAGTAAGGTGACAAGGGCATTCTAACAAGGCAAGGGTCTCGGATCAAGACATAAGCTTCGGACAAGAAGGTTTCAATGATCTCGGCAAGGAAGGATAACACATGGCTTAGCTGTGCCACACCTCGACCTAGATGTGCCACACCTCGGTCTAGGTCATACTAGTCCAGGAACAAGATCACTAGGTGCAAGGATCAAAGATCTAGGACGCCTAGATGATAAGATCTCGGCCTAGATGATACATATCTCGGCCTAGGTGATGCACACCTCGACCTAGATGATGACATCTCCGCCAATATGCCTAGGTGATGGTAGAGGTCAACCAAAGTGGTTCTAGGATGGTCTTAGATGTGAGAGGTTCAAAGGTGTGACCTAGGCTTGAGACGACCTAGGCTTGAGACAATAAGGAAGGAACAAAGCATGCATATAACACTTAGGCAAAACACATATGCACAAAACAAGACGGGGACATTTACTTAGGCAAAACAAGTCAAAGTCTACAAATGCAAGCTTAACAAGACAAAATCATGCAAATGCACATGAACGTGACTAAGACAAGAATGAGGGTTATTACATTGAGGGAATGTGGTCCCAGTCCATCAAAAATTTTGGGAAAGGTCGGTTTTATACAAGCTAGTTCCAGAAACAAATTTTGAAATCTATGTAAACTCAGTTCGTTTTTTTTTGGGGGTGGTTAGACAACCCACCTGGAAAACCGTCGGTGGCAAAACAAGGGAATAATCGACCCGGAATCGATTAGACAAACCCACCCGTACAAGACCGTCGGTGGCAAGGGAGATATCTCAAACAAGGGTATTAGTTACATTATAATCCCCTAGCACTAAGGACTTTCCAAGAATGTCATCAAAACAAACATAATACTTGATACAAAAATTAGAGGATAATCATTCATGCTTAATCAAATACTTTTTCAAAACAAAGCAACGCAAAGCTTTTATCAAAACATTATAACATAACTTTATTAAAAATACCACTCACTTAGATCTTCGGGTGTAAGGATTAAGGCAAGAATCCAAGACCTACAATCATATAGCAAAGTCTATTGAATGCATTTCAAAAAGAGAAGAAGGAATGCTCAAAGATGGTTGTGCAATGCATTCTTAAAACAAGCTTTACATGAATAAAAATGATCCCGGCATTTCTTTCCAAAACCAAGTCAAGGCAAAGCAAAACATGCTAGGAGTTAAATCACTGTTTTTCATCTAGAAAAAACATGCTGGGTACCAACCAGGTCTTGGAATTGATGCATAGAGATGATCTAGGCTAAAATGACCTAGCTGGGTGAACTCAGGAGGTCTTGGCCGAGGTCCCACACCTCTTGGTCGAGGTGTGGTTACCTAGGCTTCGGTGTGCAGCTGCCTGCCGAGGTATTACAAGGTGCCGGCAAGGATGTACCATAGTCGGCCTAGGTGTGCAGTGGTTAGCCTAGGTGTGCATGCAAGATAGACTAAGGTGCAAGTGATCATGCAAGGTAGGCCAAGGTGAGATACCATGCTTGGCCTAGGTGTGAGATCTAGGCAAGAGTGGGTCTCAGTAACCACACTTAGGCAAACGTGAAGTCTGGAAATCTGGGTTTCCTCCCTTGAAGAACATGAAGAACATGAATATGAAGAACATGAATGCTAGATTCATAACTTCTTTATTCAAAATCTGAGATTTCATGATGAGTTCAAAAACATGGACCTGGGTACCCATACTTGAAGATTCCATGAAAACAAACACAAAAACATAGAACTTGTTACAAACTTTTGGATCAAAACAAGGCTTTTTTTCAAGAACACAAAAACATCATTTTCTCTTTCTAAAACCAAACTTTAAATCGATGCATGGCTCATGAATCATGCTAGATCATGTAATGTGATCAGATTAACATAAAGAACAACAAGAGTAGATCAAGAATCTAAGCTCAAAACACGGATCTAACGGTTCAAGCTCTAAGGATCAAGCTTGGAATCTAGCTCTCTCACTCTAAGAACTTCTCTTTCTCTTCCTAGAGCTTCTCTCTCTTCAAAGGCAAGGATATGACAAAATGATATGGGTTTCTCAGCTAGCACCTAACTTAACCCTCTGCTGGGACACGTGGCAACGCCGGATTGGATAACCTCAAAAATGTGCCAGAATGACAAGACAAGAGTATGACAAAGTGTGTATAACAAGTAAGGTGACAAGGGCATTCTGACAAGGCAAGGGTCTCGGATCAAGACAT